GACAGAATTAGTGATCCGCAAATTCTTCGATCACTAGGTTGCAGAGTACGGGCACCCCCTAACTATAGTAAGTGATAGAGATACTAGATTCACCAGCGAGCACTGGCAACAGCTTATAAAAATCTACGGGTCTAGAGTCTAGACTGACCATGTCTTCAGGCAGGCATCCCGAGACTAACAGACAGACAGAACAGATGAACAAACCACTACAGCAAGTGCTTCGCATGTACATTACGCCAGATCAGATAGACTGGGATGAAATCCTACCAAAGGTAGCTAGTGCCTACAACAACTCAATGCACCTAGCAACTAACCGGGCACCCAATGAGCTGCACAAGAGGTGGCAACCACAACGACTGATAGATTGCCTGAATCCAGATCAGACTCAGAGGCTGCCACCTGGCACTAGAGAGTTCGCTGTCCACTACGAGGAAGTTCCGAAGGTCGCTGAGAACAGCCGGTAGAGCAAGCTAACAGGCACCGCAGACCGTCTAAGTTCGCTGTTGGTGATCTTGTCTGGGTCAAGCCTAAGCATTCCTTCGGGAAGAGAACATTTCTCAGAAATTACTCCCTGCATATCGAGGAGTGTGGGAGATTTTAGATGCCATAGGAGAAGCAGATGGCCCCTCCTATACTGTTGATATTCCTTTGCACTTACACACGTACCCAGTTTTTCCGGCGTCCAAGTTGCTGCCCTATGTCACTAATGACTGCTTCCCTTCACGAAGATCAATGATCCCTGCTGACATGGATGGGAGATATGACATAGTTTGGATTCTGGAGGAGGATGTCTACAGGACAGGAAGAAGGGGTAGACCGTAGCAACAGTACAAAGTTTGGTTTGTGTATCTGGAACCAGAAGATGACCGTTGGTAAACTAGGGAGGAGTTGACGGAGACCGCACCTCATATTGTGTACTATTATGAGTGTGCCAAAAGGGATATTGATATCATAGACAGGTAAAGATAAGATCTTTCTCGGAGGACCTCGAAACTAGGCCGGTGGGAGAGAAAGGATTTCATGCTGTGCCACAATCCCAAGTCCCAGTCCCAATCCCGAGTCCCGAGTCCCAGGTCCCAGTACCAAGTCCCAGGTCCCACTCCCGGGTCCTAGGTCCCAGTCCCGAGTCCCAGGTCCCTTCCTGAGTCCCAGGTTCCAATTCCGAGTCCCATTCTGTGTTCCATTAGTGGTTCCAGCCACTTGTACAATATGAACGAACACTCTAGAAGAGTAACTTTCATTTGTACCATGATTGCAGAGGCCTAGGTGAGCTAGTTAAGTAGATCATGGTAGGCAGTCCTTTGGAAATAACAGTTATGCATGATGACCCGACCAAACATGGACTGAAACACACGGCTGATTTCTGAGTTTTTCTCATAGACTGAATGCCTTTCTGAGTTTCCCGCTTGCTACCAAGTTCTCTAAGTCTGTGTGTGTGCACGCTTGCTGGACTGCATGTCTGTCTGAGTGCTGGTTGGCTTGAGTGTGTGTGTGGCCCGCAAGGGCACTAGTTTGTTCGTTGAGCCCTCAGGGCCGGTACTTACCGTGGCCGTGGCATTGAGGATTGCAGTGGGGGAAAACACTCAAGTGGCGGGGTAAGAGGCCCGCAGCACTTGAAGCAGCGGGGAAACACTCAAGTAGCAGGTAGGCCGGTACCACACCCTGAAGCGGTAGATGTGCCGGGTACTGGAGGCCGAGCAGAAG